ATACATTCTCAGAAAGCATGATATGCGCTTTCTCAGACTGCTATTCTGTCCTTTGCAGCAGATATGGGCAAACCTCGGGCTTGTAAGATCTACTTTTTTGTTACTGTTTTACTGGAACCATTTGGTTTACCTGCAGGAGCATGTGCTAAATGATAACATGCAGATACATTGGCTGCATCCTGTGAGCCATGTATTACACATACAAATACAATTATAATATTATGAAAGAAAACTTTTGCTGTTGCCAACAAACCCTGGTCCATCTACTTCAAATCCTTCAGAGATCAACCATCAGATCAAGTAAAGTCTGCTTTCCTTTCTGTCCATGCTTACAGTCACACCCACCCAGAAGCTGCACTTGCACGCACAATTGAAACCACCCACAGTGACTTAAGTAAGTCACCATGGCCTGCCCCTTAACCCAGCCCCCCACTTGTAGCTAGTCTTATGGTTTGAAACTAGTAGAGAGGAATAGTTGGCATGGTTAACAAATCAGTTACAATCCTAAAACATCCCGTGGTTTGTAGATTATTTATTAACAGTGCCAAGAACCCACTCTCATCAGATTCAGCTAACACAACAAGCTACAAAAAGGGGTTGCCTTACGGAATGGGCACCTGTGGGCCCCATAAACCATAGTGGCCACTCTGGGTAATTCTGACCACACACATCAGATCAGCCTCACGCACTGAACCCACTTTCCCATGCCTTCACTGGGAGAGCCACCATTTGGCTCCTCTACAGCAGCCTTCCTCAGCCTGGTGCCCTTCAGATGTTTCGGACTATAATCTCTGTCATCAGTGACCATTGATCCTACTGACTGTGGCTCTTGACAATTGTTGTAAACATTTGGAAGGCACTAGGTCAGAGAAGATGCATCTGTACCTCATTAACTGGCTTTTAAAAAAGCATGCTGCATAAAATCTAGAATAGGTTTCTGGGTTTTGTCTTAATGGCCATGCTCACATACTGCTTGACTCTAATACTAAGCTGCTTTTTAGAAACCCTGGTAATTTCTGTAAGGCCCACTATGACCAACGCAGTCAAAAATTTCTTCCCTTCAAAGAACCCAGATAGGGCATAATTTCACAGTGTTAAAGTACATAGGGTGCTGAAAATAAGTGATTCAGAGTAGGCAGTGGGTGAGAAGTAAGGATCAAATGAAAAGACAAGGAGCAGCAAAGATCAAGGGATCAAGAGAAAGAGCCTCAGCTAGGTAATGTGGACAGCGGCCATTGTGCTATTGCTGTTCGGAAAATCAGAAAGAACTTGGTATAATAAGCTGGCACAGGCAGTAGACAACATTCAGCAGACCATTCCTTAAAAGGCTGCTGACATAGTGAGGGACTGTGGGATGTGGAGTTTATTATAAAGGTGTCTGGGATACAGACTGGAACCAGTGGGAGGACTGAGGGGTAAGAAGGAGGAGAAGAACCCATGGTGAGCATAATCATGTGACAGGTACATGCGTCATGAATTGAACAGCCCATGTTATGTAGCTTAGTCATAGGGTGGCTTTGTGTCACTCAAACCCACATATAGGATCCTACTTCAAACAAGCACTACTGCTCGCAGTGACTTGTCCAAGCCATGGTGGGGCACAAAATGTGCCTGGCAGTTTTTAAGTATTCAAGTTGTGACTTGTTGTGCTGTCTGCATCTGGACAGTGGGCATTATATGAAGGGTAGGCAACTCTCCAGAGCCTCCAGTGACTGAGATAAACTACAAAGGGCTGATTGATTCTGCAAAATGGTCCATTGGGTTATAATGAACTGGCTCTTTGGTCACTGGATAATTTATGCTATATGCAGATTAGGGACAGGATCGCTAACATGTTTCTCTCTCACTACTAAGCAAAACATTGAAGCACAAAACATCGGTGCATTTGCCTTACAATTTCTGAACACTGACTATGACTGCTATGTTCTGCTTTCTTTCTTCCTACTAGTTCCTATAACTTGCAAAGAAGGCTTTATGCCCTTACTACTGCCATTATTCAGGAACCTTGAGAAATTTGGGCTCCTGGAAGTTTAAATATAAATAACTATATTTTCCTGACTTAGATGAAATATGGGTTGTAGCATGTTGATCATCTGCCTTTTACTGCAGATGCCTTTTACAGGGCAGGTGGGCAGGGTAGAATGGTAAATTTCATTTTGGGATATAATTGTTAAGCTACCATAAAGGACTGGATTTTATAAGTTTTGATCTGCTGGAAAAGGAAAGGGGTGGTTTAATAAATTTATATAGTGTTGGATCTATATACCGGAAAACATAAGTGATAGCTTGCTGGATTCATTCACATTATCGTGCATGTGTCTGTCCCACCATTTGGGATTAAAATTCCTAAAAGACTGGATGTTACATACTTTCTGCAGTCCTCCAAATGCAAAAAAAATCCACCAAATTAACCCTCTGTATTCTAGCTTTCAGGAAATAACTGATGACTAATTGCCCCACTAACCTTTTAGGGTGGAAAATGAAATAAATGATGATGGCAACCTGATCTGCATTATGAGTAGGATTCTTTGTAAAATCAGGGAAGTTTCATGTCCCAGAGGATGCAAAATTAGCCACATGGGACTTTTGTCTGTATGGAGAAACTGGACACAATTAGAATAATATTCATTGTTGTTAATACAACGCGAAGTAATTAGGCAAGTTGATTTTGACAGGTTGATGGTGCTAAAATTCTATCACAGTAGACTTTTCCATATAGAACAGTTATACTTAGGAAAGTGTTTAATAAAAGGTATGATTGGGCTCAGAGGGATTTAAGCTGTACAACTTACAGTATAGCTGAGTTAAATTGGCTTTTTAAATACGGCTTTTGAATTTTGTCATACATTGCCTTGTGAGGGCTTACCCTAAAAGTCAATTTCTCAGTCTTTAAAATAAATACAATCTTTGGTTGTAGTTTGCTGGCAGTGTAGGCTTAACTAGTAAAACTGTAGGGAAGCTAGATGCACTAGATACAAAGTGTATCTAGCTTCTTAAGTAGAAGTGGAATGGGAGCATTCTGTATATGCTTAGAAGAACTCTGTCAATTAACTGTTGTTTCTGCTTATGAACTAACTGGTTATCCTTGGATTGCTGGGCCTCCATATTCCTCGGCTGTAAAATATTATTTCTGTCCTCTAAACAGTGTTAATGCAAAACAGTGCATACTTGGGTGTATGCAATTTTCTTGCCATATAGCATGGAAGCTCGCCACACTACTACTTGCTAGCTGAAGCTGTCTTCTTGTATTCCCTATTAGTTCTGACTTTCTGGTTGTGCCATAATTTGCATGTAGATTATATGGGTCCCGTTGTCCAACCAGACATGCCACTGGGCTTCCCCACTCTGACCCTAACCCTACCCACTGAGGCATAGGAATTATATTTTCATCCATTAAATGTTATGAGGTATTTTCATAGAATCATAGAATAGTAGAGTTGGAAGGGGCCATGAAGGCCATCAAGTCCAACCCCCTGCTGTTGCAGGACACCAATTTACACCATCCCACTCAGATTGCTATCCAGTTTCTTTCTGAATGTTTCTAGTGTGAGGGAGCCCGCTACTTCTCTGGGCAGCTGGTTCCACTGTTGTATTGCTCTGACCGTGAGGAACCTTTTCCTGATGTCCAGCCTGAATCTGGGTTGCCACAACTTGAATTGATTATTCCGTGTCCTACACTCTGGGATTAGCAAAAAGAGATCTTGATCTTCTTCTTTGTGACAGCCTTTGAGGTACTTATAGAGGGCTATCATGTCCCCCTTCAGTGTTCTCTCCTCAAGGCTGAACATGCCCAGTTCCCTCAGTCTCTCCTCATAGGGCAGTGTTTCCAAACCCTGGATCATTTTTGTCGCCCTCCACTGGACCCTTTCGAATTTACCTGCATCTTCCTTAAATCTTGGTGCCCAGAACTGGACACATTTTAATGCTTGGAAATGAGCCTATGGTTTATTTTCGTTTGTAAACATCACAGTTGTCTTTTATTGCCTCTTGCGAGATGGAAGAATTTAGAATGTGTAGATTGTTACCTTTATCTAAGTACAAAGGCTTGTGGAAAGGCTCCCTTTTGCTTTATGTATATGGAAAAATAGTGATAAATATGTGCTAAAGCTAACTTCAAAAATATACAGACTTCATCATAAAAGATATAAGCATCCTACAACAATTAGTCTTAATTAAGGCTACACTAGGTGTCACATGAGTTTCATGTCTACCCCCCCCCCCACACACACACACCCCTATTTTGGTAATTTAAAACAAAAACATGGAAACCCGGGAACTGGAAGACTCTTTACACTTTTGTCATTTTTCCACTAAAAATCCAACTATCCACACAACACTCAAGAACTGAGTAGGGATTGAGTGTAGGTTGTCACTTAGGCATGCGTTATTATTGAAACATTGGTTATTGTGTTGTCTGAACCCAGATACTGCTATCTAACTAGTTTGCTTACTAACTACAAGTAATGCATGAAAAAACCCCTATGTTTTCATGTTGGTTTCTGAACTATTAGTTGCTTGTGGTTAAGAAACCATCATTTGTTATCACAGCTGGGTTCAGACAACATGCTAGCCAGTGTTTCAACGACAGCTCATACTCAACCTGAACTCAACCCCATGAGTGTGGGTTACTGTGTTGGCTGAACCCAGACAGCGACAAACTGTAGCTTAGAAAAGCCAGCAGTGGGATGTGTATGGGATTTTTAGAAGACAAACAGAAGGAAGGAGAGGGCTAAGCAAATGGTTTTGTTCACAGCTTTTCAAGGCTGCACTTCTTCTTTCTTCTTTCTTTCTTCTTTCTTTCTTCTTTCTTTCTCTTCTAGTTTAAAAGAAAGGTCATGGAATCCTAGGAAAGTCTAGCTTGGTCCGCTATATTTGTGTTGCATGTATTTTGTGTCTAAGAAAGAACAGATTGCTAGTTCCAGTTAAGTATGAAATTTAGTTCTTAATCTCCCTATCACTTCTCCTCTCTTTCCCCCTCTTGCCCCCAAATTCTTTTTCAGAACAAGAAGAAAACTTTGAATTTATCATTGTGTCACTTACTGGTCAGACTTGGCATTTTGAAGCAACAACATATGAAGAAAGAGATGCTTGGGTCCAAGCTATTGAGAGTCAGATACTGGCCAGCCTGCAGTCATGTGAGAGCAGTAAGAATAAGGTTAGATAGATAACATTGATCTTGCTTTTCTCAGCTTTGGAAACTCTAGGGAACTTTTGGAAGGAGAATTTAGTACAAGCATTATTTTCTCTAAAACACTGCTTTGCCTCTTCTGTGCTGGTATCCATTTTATATCTAAGTGTTTTAAAGGTAGCTTATTACATTGCTGTCTCAATTTTTCATATAATTTCAAATTTGAAATAAACAATTTGGATGAATTATTTTATTTATACAAAATTTTCCTTCATATTTGGAGGTCTGGAAAAAGGGCATAGAACCTTTACTGTTTGGTTCCTGGAAGTGGTTGTATTTTCATATGGCTAGAAAATGTTTGGAGCTCTATATTCAATGCTAAAAGAACTCTTCTAAAAGAGTTATATTATGCATAAAATTCCCATTTTGTATTGATTATTTATTTATTTTTGCTAAACCTCTTTGTTAGATTGCTGCCTATTTTCTGGTCATGTTCCATACCTGATAATAGATGTCTGACAAAACAGTCATGAGCCTTTTATCCTCAAACATTACCTGGAGACCTCTTATTTTAATGTGATGTTTTCTATAGCTCTGTTCCACCTAAGTTTAGTCATAAGTATTTCCTATTGAAAGCAATGGAAAAGTTACTAACAAATAGCTTCTTCACGATATTTTAAATATCTTGTTTGTGATGAAAACTAAGTAGATCAGGGCATTTATCTTTAAATACATTTTCACAATTTATATTTCTTCTTGGTTAAGGAAAATTAAGTGGCTCATTATAATGAATGCCCATCAGATTCCATTAATCAGTAATAAATGGGTCTAATGATTTTCACTCAAAATCCACATTGGGCCACCCAACATTCTACAAAATTATGCAAGCTTTCAAGTTCCCCAGGAGTTCTGGAGAACTTGAAGCATGCACATTTTATGGCATTTTGGTGATTGCAATAAAGATACTGCCCAGCTTTGAATCCAGTATAAATTTTAAATTATTTTAAATAAGAAAAATAGATTAGATGGGAAAATAAATGACAGACATAATTTGGAATAAATTAACATGAGCAGCTGCCAGCTATGAACAGAGTAATCATTCCAAAGGAAAGGTGCAGGTTGAAGAAACCATCAACTGGCATACTGGACAAATGGGACATCTAGAAACTAGCTTACATAAAGTGTTGTGTGGCTACCATTGAAATCCTTAGCAAGAAGTTCATAATCTGATAATGTTAGCAGAATTGAATCAGGACAGTTGGAATAGAGGCTGAAGGTCTCTTATCCTTATATAGGTCACTGGGAAGCCACTGTGGAAAGAAGTGTATCATGCAAGGTATTAAATCCAATGTAATATTTCCATAATAGAAGGTTCTGTTTGCCATTGCTTGACATTACCAAATTTTCCTAACCATCTGTAACCATGAAATGAAGGAGCTGAAGCCTTTAGAAATCATTTTAATTATGCAGAGCCTCTTTGAAAGAATGAAGTAATCTGTGATCAGTTTAGGTAACTGTGACTGGCTTCAGTTTTGAACTTGCTTTACCTCTGACAACCCCAGCTGGACATCCTGTGCTCTGCATATCCCAGCAGTTCAACAAAAATTGAAACATGGATGAAAAGGCTGCTTGTCAGACACTGAATTGCAGTACTGAAAGATGCTAAAAGATCAGCTCTCTGAGAACCAGTCAAAAGCATCAAATTACATGATCACATTCAGTCATCTGAACTCTTTTTCATCAGTTGACAGAGGTGTTGTGTCTGCTTTTTCTTTTGGTTCTTATTTCTTGTATGTGTGTTTCTTTAAATATATACAGTCCCGACTGACAAGTCAGAATGAGGCCATGGCCCTTCAGTCAATACGAAACATCAGAGGCAATTCTCGCTGTGTGGACTGTGAGGTACAAAGTAAGTGTAACCATTTTTTTCCACAAGAAACATCATCCTGGGCTTCATAAAGCTTACAGTCTTTTTGCTTAAGTGTTATGAACACCTGCTCACTTCTTGCCCTCTTGGTATTGTAGTCCATGTCCTTTTACCAGTTAGTGTTCATTATGGAATTTAATATGTGTGGTGTATTCCTATTAAATCCTAATTAAAGCAAGATGCTAGTTAGATTAAGATGTTGTCTTTTTGTCAGTGCTGACCTGAATCACTTTGCAAGAGGAAGCTATTTTTTAATTTCGCAATCATTTTCAACTTAATATGCTGCTGTTATGTTCCAATATGCTCGGGTAAAAGGAAAAATAAGTAGTCTTAGACATTTTTCTGGGTTTTAAAGTTATTTTTCCCATTGTAATAACCAAGAGACCACACAGTATTAGAAATCTAGTTGTGATATTTTCTCCCTCTCTGTTGTGTATTTGAATGTAACTGTTTTTTAAAGAGGTATTTGTAGTCCATCAGAATGGACTGATGGATGTCGGTGTTTCATTTAGCACAATCCTTATTCAGTTCCTGGCTGAACATGACTTTAAAATATACTTTGAACTATCTTTTGTTAAGATGATATTCATCAACTATGAGAAACAGTGAAATGTAACAGACTTTAAACTTTTAAACCTTGAAAATTTAAAAACTGATATTAGACTATTATAGGTGGTTTCCTTTATTAAAGGGATGAGGAAAGTATGGCCTGAATACAGTCCACTGCCTAATTTCATCCATGTCTGCAGAACCATGCTGAAAGTGCACCCCTTCTTTCAAAGGAGTGCCTTTGAAAATTTGGTCCTAGCTTACTGTACACTTTCAAAGCTCTCCTTAGGGCAAGCTTGAGCCTACTTCCTCCTGGAGGGGAGATAGAAGCCTTATAGTGTGAATGGGCTAGCTCACCCAGTTCCATGCACACATTCAAAACTGTCCTGCCTGAGAACGGGGAGGGGAGCCTTTGAAAGGAAGGGGAGTGGCCAGGTGAGCACTTCCAAAGTTATTTTATGGAATGAATGTGAGGACAGTTGATCTGCCTATTTTTGTCTAATGTATCCCTGAAATATTGGTATTTAGTGAAAAGTTCAGCAATAGCCAATGGGCCAGAGTTATTTTCCAAGTTCATCCTTTCAGGGCAGACAGAAATCGGACAGAAAAACCTAGATCCCCCAAGTGATCCGGGGTCATGGAGTATCAGCCATGATATAGAGCCATAGAATAGTAGAGTCGGAAGGGGCCATGAAGGCCACTGGGTCCAACCCCCTCCCGTTGCAGGACACCAGTTTATACCATCCCACTCAGAAGGCTGTCCAGTTTCTTTTTGAATATCTCTAGTGTGGGAGAGCCCACCCCCTCTCTAGGCAGCTGGTTCCACTGTTGTATTGCTCTGACAGCAAGGAAGCTTTTCCCGATGTCCAGCCTGAATCTGAGTTGTTGCAACTTGAATTGGTTATTCTGTATCCTACACTCTGGCATCAACAAGAAGAGATCTTGGCCTTCCTCTTTGTGACAGCCTTTGAGGTACTTATACAGAGATGCCATGTCCCCCCTCAGTCTTCTCTTCTCAAGGCTGAACATGCCCAGTTCCCTCAGTCTCTCCTGATCGGGCAGTGTTTCCAAACCCTGGATCATTTTTGTTGCACTCCTCTGGACCCTTTCTAATTTTTCTGCATCTTTCTTAAATCTTGGTGCCCAAAACTGGGCGCAGTATTCCAGATGAGGTCCGACTACTGCTTCCCATGATTTGGAAGTAATACTTCTATAGTTGTTGTTAGTCACAAAGTTGTGCCCAACCCATCATGACCCCATGGAGAACATTTCTCCAAGCTGCAAAGTGAGTGTTTTGCAACAGGACTCTACAATTACAGATATTTGTTGCATCAGTAGTAAAACCTACATTTCATGCCATTCACACCTAGCTTGATAGGGCAGCCCAGGGTGCTTGCTTGCTAGTTGCGAAGTTGCATCCGACCCATCGCGACCCCATGGACAACATTCCTCCAGACCTTCCTGTCCTCCACCATCCCCTGGAGTTCACTTAAGCTCACGCCAACTGCTTCAGTGACTCCATCCAGCCACCTCATCCTCTGCCTTCCCCTTCTTCTTTTGCCATCTATTGTTCCCAGCATTAGGCTCTTCTCCAGGGAGTCCTTCCTTCTCATTAGGTGGCCAAAGTATCTGGCCTTCTAAAGTCGAGTTTGTCATTCTTTGTGGTCTCAGTGCATCACACATGTGGGCTCTTCGCGCATGGGTGGAGCGGATTTTCAAGAAGATTCTGAAGCTGACTAATTAGTATTTGGCGGGGGCCCAGCCCCCTACGCAGCTGGCAGGAGGGCAGGGCTCTGGCCGAGAGCTCAGTCCTTCTTCGACCACCATCATGAGCGCATTGAGAAGTTCTTCTCCAACTTTCCTCGCAAGCTATACATCAAAGCTTTCCCTGGTCAGGTTTTTCTCTCTGTCTTCTCTCTATTGCTCAAAGCACAAAAAAAGAAAAGTTATTTGTATCCTACAGTGGTTACCGCTGAAGGTTTCCTTCATGCCTTGCTGGCCCGGCAATGGCACTGAAGGCTGCTTTCCACATCTGCACCGCATGCACTAGCAAGCCCCCACCAACCGATGGCCACTCCCTTTGTTTGTTTTGCCTGTTATCCCTGTCAAGCTTTACAAAGCAGGCAAGGAAACACCAGGCTGATCATTTAAAAGTGGAACTTTGGAGGTGTGTTTTACATGCTGCAGACCCTCAGCCGTCTACTTCTGCGGCTTCAGCTCAAAACCCAGAGAACTTGCTACGTTCCCCACTGGCGAAAATGCCCAAGGTGGCAAAACAAAAGAAGGCAGGAAAGAAAGCAAAGCCTCCAAAGCCTTTTTTTTTTTTTTTTTTGGCTCTTGCCTCTTGGCAGAGCAGCGAAGCAACAGAGGCAGAGGCTGGGGGAGTGTGCTGAGGGTGGCCAGGGGACTGGCGAGGACATGTTAGGAGCTGGGCAGAGGAGGCGGGGGGGCCAAGAGCAGCGGAGAGGAAGGGAGGTGAGGCCAGAGAGGCCAGGAGGAAGCAGAGGGGCGGGGCCACCAGCCTGAGAGGCTTATAAGGCATTGTCCCTTGTCTGCGTTCCTTAGCTGTGGCCCAGGCTGCCCGGGGGACCCCCTTCCCTGGGGGCAGGGTTTTTTTTTTAATTTTTATGTTGTCCTTGTGTGTGTGTGGGGGGGTTGTCTGGGAGAACTGGGCAAGTGAAGAGTAGCGCAGGACAGACAAGGCGGGGGAACAAGGTAGGGTGTCTGAGGGGTTCCCAGTGTCAGGCCAGGAGATGGCCTTGGCGGGAATCACAGGTGTTGCTGTCCACTGCGACAGCTGCGACATGTTCGCCCCTCTCCCTCACGAGAGGCAGGGATACACTTGCCCTCAGTGCAAGCTGGTGACCCTCCCAGAGGAGGAAGTGAGGGGTCTGAGGGCCGAGACCTCTCCAGGTCCCCCGGGAGCAGCCCCCCTCCAGACAGAGGGTTGAGGGAGGGGACCCGTGAGGAACAGCCAGGGAGACAGGGAGGCATGTCACCCACAGCATGGCCTCCTCCTTCTCCTGGCGCCGATCTGGAGCTGGGAAACAAGTTCTCTCCGCTTGGGGAGGCTGGGGCTGATGAGGCCTTGGGGGACCAGCAGGACCCCCAGCCTGGGACCACATGCGGCCAGGAGGCCGCTACAGGAGAGGCAAGGGCCAGGGCACAGCTGTCTACCACCACCAGGAAGAGACGGCGGTGGGTGATTATCATCGGGGACTCTCTGCTGAGTGGGCGGTGTGCCAGCCTGACTTTGAGGCGAGGGAGGTCTGCTGCCTGCCAGACGCACACATCCAGCATATGAAGGATAGAGTGGAGCATCTTGTTCACTCCGGGGGTCACCAGCCACTTCTGGTGATCCATGTGGGGACAAATGATGTAGCCAGGCAGGATGTGGGCAGGATCACCAGGGACTTCGAGGCCTTGGGAAAGAAACTCAGGGAACTGAAGGCCCAAGTGGCCTTCTCATCTATCTTACCAGTCCGTTGATTTTGGCCAGGCTGGGAAAGGAGGGTTGCCGAGGTGAATGACTGGCTTACAGTGTGGTGCCAGACGGAACACTTTAAGTTGTTAGCACCTGGCACCCAGTTTCTTGCCAGTGGACTTCTGGCAAGGGACAGGTTGCACCTCACGAGGATGGAGAAAAGGTCCTTTGGAAATGTTCTAGTGAGCTTTGTCTGGAAGACTTTAAACTGAACCGGGGGTGGGGGGAGGGTCAGGCCCCCCAGAAACTTGTCCACAGTGGACAAGTGAGGAGAGAAGATCAGGGCTCTGGGACCAGGGTATTAGAGGTACTGCAGGGGCTGACAAGACTCCTACAAAGAGGGGGCCGGTATCAGGGAAGATGGGAGGAAGGAGGAGGCTGTGGATTCCAAAGAAAGGAAGCTGTGGGAAGGAGTTGAGGTGCATCTACACCAATGGTAGGAGCATGGGTAATAAGCAGGAAGAGCTTGAAGCTCTCCTGGGTATAGGAGGGTACGACCTGGTGGGGATCATGGAAACTTGGTGGGATGAAAGGCAAGACTGGAATGTAAACATAGAGGGGTATCACCTTTTTAGAAAGGACAGGAAGAGAAAGAGGGGTAGGGGTGAAGCTTTATATGTCAGGGAAGGGATAGGATGCAGTGAGATGGAATGCAGCACAGATGGGAACTGGGTGAGGCAGTCTGGGTGAAACTAAGGGATTTTGACAGAGAGAAGAACCTGACAGTGGGGGTATGTTATTGCCCTCCAGGTCAACTTGAGACCCTGAATGATATCCTGACAGATCAGATTCTAAGGATATCTCGGGGGAGAGACACAGTAATTAGGGGAGATTTCAATCTCCCAGATATTAGTTGGGAGAGTCACTCAGCAGTGACAGCCAGGTCACGTCGCTTCCTAGATGCTACAGAGGGAGGGTTTTTCATGCAGAGGATCCAAGAGGTGACCCG